TCGTCACGAACTCTCGTTCTGGGAGGAGACGCAGAGACTCGGACGTCTCCCGCACTCCGTCTCGGAGGTCCGTTAGGACTGTGGACACCAGGGATTCCAGAGAGTCGAGAAGACGCAGATACCGTCCGCGGCGCGAGGATGATCGTGACCGGAGGAGGGACAATGCCCGTGATCGTCGTGATGATGATTCACTCGATCGAGAGCGAGAACGAAGGCGAGATGATCGCAGGAGATCCGAGAGGGATCGTGATAGGGACCGTGCGCGGGGCGGACGTGACCGGAGGAGACGTGACGATAGCCGATAGGCCGAGTCACGAGGATTGCGGCCGATAGGCTTGCGTCCATTCTCCAATGGTCAGCGCGGTGCGGAGGTGGTGATGTTCCTCCCGAACCGCTGAGGCGCGGAGATCAAGTCCCTCCCGTACCGCTGCTCGGCTGCTGGTCGTGTTCATCATGAAGTAGTGTGAGTGAGAGGGAAAGCAAACTAATGGGGGGATACTCCCGGGTTTGCGGAATTCAAGCATTTTTCAGGTACGCATGGTCAGGAGTACCTCTCGCCGATAGGCGAGGGTACTTATGGACATTCGTTATCCTTTGTTTCATGGCTTCTGATAACATTTAAACTTCTTGCATTGTTGATGCAAACAGTTGTGGCCTAGTGCCGTCATGTGGACTCTTTCACAAGGTGTGTTGGACAGCGTTACCCCGATTAATTCGGGGTGGTGGCGGGAATTTAATGCCCGGGATGTCGCGCAACTGCCTTTGTGGGTTTGCTCCACCGCTGACGGCGGTAGTGTCCAGCTGTTTGCGGACACATGCGAGCAGTTAAATCCTATCAGTAAATGGCACGCTCCGCCCGTCATATGACGGACTCCTCGTGAGGGGGGTGTGATTAGCCATGCATTTCAGGTGACTACCGGCATGTTGCGATAGCAACATCCGGTGCCACTTTGGCTCAAGTTTGCGGGTCCGTCGCGCCTCGGATGAGCGTCGCCGGGTCCCCGCGTCGATCACCTTCGTGTCGGTGGAGAAAGAGACATCGGCCCGGGGCAGATTGGTGGGGTCCGCCCGTGCGGTTCATCGTCGATCAAGGTTGCGGGTACTTGTTTACTTGTTTTGGTATTTCCCTTTTGGTTGTTGTTCTCTGGTGTGTGGGAAACCCTGATCTTTGGGACCGGGGATTGGTTTGCTTTTGGGGAACCTTTCTTTTGGGGCTTGTTTACCCCAACTTACCCATTGCCTGGGCACAGGCTCGTGCCCGAATCACAAAATCAATACTTTTCGGAACATTATGCGGGGGGCTGCCGCCCCCCAACCCCCCGCTGCTTTTTAGATTTCGGCGCATCATCCTGAAAAACAAACAACACTTTTCGGAACATCATGCGGGGGGCTGCCGCCCCCCGCTGCTTCTTAGATTTTGGCGCATCATCCTGAAAAACAAACAACACTTTTCGGAACATCATGCGGAGGGCAGCCGCCCCCCGCTGCTTTTCGGCGCATCATCCTAAAAAAAAAACAACACTTTTCGGAACATCATGCGGGAGGCTGCCGCCCCCCGCTGCTTTTTAGATTTCGGCGCATCATCCTGAAAAACAAACAGCACTTTTCGGAACATCATGCGGGGGGCTGCCGCCCCCCGCTGCTTTTTAGATTTCGGCGCATCATCCTGAAAAAAAACAAGACGTTTCGGAACATCATGCGGCAAACAACACTTTTCGGAACATCATGCGGGGGGCTGCCGCCCCCCGCTGCTTTTTAGATTTCGGCGCATCATCCTGAAAAACAAACAACACTTTTCGGAACATCATGCGGGGGGCTGCCGCCCCCCGCTGCTTTTTAGATTTCGGCGCATCATCCTGAAAAACAAAAAGCACTTTTCGGAGCATCATGCGGGGGGCTGCCGCCCCCCGCTGCTTTTTAGATTTCGGCGCATCATCCTGAAAAACAAACAACACTTTTCGGAACATCATGCGGGGGGCTGCCGCCCCCCGCTGCTTTTTAGATTTCGGCGAATCATCCTGAAAAACAAACAACACTTTTCGGAACATCAGGCGGGGGGCTGCCGCCCCCCGCTGCTTTTTAGATTTCGGCGCATCATCCTGAAAAACAAACAACACTTTTCGGAACATCATGCGGGGGGCTGCCGCCCCCCGCTGCTTTTTGGATTTCGGCGCATCATCCTGAAAAACAATCAACACTTTTCGGAACATCATGCGGGGGGCTGCCGCCCCCCGCTGCTTTTTAGATTTCGGCGCATCATCCTGAAAAAAAAACAACACTTTTCGGAACATCATGCGGGGGGCTGCCGCCCCCCGCTGCTTTTTAGATTTCGGCGCATCATCCTGAAAAACAACACTTTTCGGAACATCATGCGGGGGGCTGCCGATCCTGAAAAACAATCAACACTTTTCGGAACATCATGCGGGGGGCTGCCGCCCCCCGCTGCTTTTTAGATTTCGGCGCATCATCCTGAAAAACAAACAACACTTTTCGGAACATCATGCGGGGGGCTGCCGATCCTGAAAAACAATCAACACTTTTCGGAACATCATGCGGGGGGCTGCCGCCCCCCGCTGCTGTTTAGATTTCCGCGCATCATCCTGAAAAACAAACAACACTTTTCGGAACATCATGCGGGGGGCTGCCGATCCTGAAAAACAATCAACACTTTTCGGAACATCATGCGGGGGGCTGCCGCCCCCCGCTGCTGTTTAGATTTCCGCGCATCATCCTGAAAAACAAACAACACTTTTCGGAACATCATGCGGGGGGCTGCCGATCCTGAAAAACAATCAACACTTTTCGCTGCTGCTTTTTAGATTTCGGCGCATCATCCTGAAAAACAAACAATACTTTTCGGAACATCATGCGGGGGGCTGCCGATCCTGAAAAACAATCAACACTTTTCGGAACATCATGCGAGGGGCTGCCGCCCCCCGCTGCTTTTAGATTTCGGCGCATCATCCTGAAAAACAAGCAACACTTTTCGGAACATCATGCGGGGGGCTGCCGATCCTGAAAAACAATCAACACTTTTCGGAACATCATGCGAGGGGCTGCCGCCCCCCGCTGCTTTTTAGATTTCGGCGCATCATCCTGAAAAACAAACAACACTTTTCGGAACATCATGCGGGGGGCTGCCGATCCTGAAAAACAATCAACACTTTTCGGAACATCAGGGGGGGCTGCCGCCCCCCGCTGCTTTTAGATTTCGGCGCATCATCCTGAAAAACAAACAACATTTTCGGAACATCATGCGGGGGGCTGCCGATCCTGAAAAACAATCAACACTTTTCGGAACATCATGCGGGGGGCTGCCGCCCCCCGCTGCTTTTTAGATTTCGGCGCATCATCCTGAAAAACAAACAACACTTTTCGGAACATCATGCGGGGGGCTGCCGATCCTGAAAAACAATCAACACTTTTCGGAACATCATGCGGGGGGCTGCCGCCCCCCGCTGCTTTTTAGATTTCGGCGCATCATCCTGAAAATCAAACAACACTTTTCGGAACATCATGCGGGGGGCTGCCGATCCTGAAAAACAATCAACACTTTTCGGAACATCATAAGGGGGGCTGCCGCCCCCCCAACCCCTCGGCTGCGCAACGGGGCCATGCCAGGCGAGCCAAGGTTAGAAAAGAAGCTGGCAGGGTCAAAAGAACAAGGATGAGGTTGAAAATAAGTGTGCCAAGGTTGCAAAAAAGTTGCCCTTATAGCTGCTACGAAGCCTGCGTTGCTGTTCAGGTTCTAGTTGAATGTAGTTATTTACAACGCAGTCAATAAAACAAGTTGCGCTGCAGAGGGCTACTTCAGATGTTGCGTGTGTTCCAAATTGAGACTTTTAACTGCCTGTGTTCCAGATTGAGCTAAATGTTGGTTCCAATTTGAGGTGCTTTTCAGGTTCCAATCTGAGGCAATTTGGGGGTTCCAATTTGAGATCCGTGCCCCCTAACTTGGATTGTTTGATTATTGTTTCTGAATTAGAGCAAGCTCAGAAATGTGCTTGAATAATTTTGGCTGCAACATGTTGAAACAAGGGCTTGGCCCAATCATGATAGGGGTAGACGGAAGGGACCCGAAGGAAGCCAAAGGAGTTTGCTAGCGCGTATTTTAGTTGTTGATCCGTACAAGCCACTACCTCGTTTGAACCCTTGGCCAAAAGAGCTTTTGCCACGGCCAGCATGTCCGGTCACGAACTTGCAAGGTGTTGAGCTTCCAACCCAAGCCAGGCAACACAGAAGCGAGTTCGACAAAAAAAGGAAGAGCATCGCTGTGTCCACAGTTGTTTATTGAGGTCCGGGAGTCAATCGAATTGTTCGCTCAACTCCCGGTTCTTTGGATGACGCCTCCTTCAATGGTGTGTTCATAAACGTGATCCGAGATGAATCGGTATTGAGGTTAATCACCTCACCCTGGAAAGAGGTTGCTTCCACTTCGTGGATGACTGCTGCAAGATGTCAAGTATTGTGGCAAATGCATAGAGGGGCCTTGCCCAGGGTTCAGTTAAATCTTCAGGAGGTTGGGCGATGACTTGCCCGGCGCGAAAACGTCGTTTGGAAGTTGCTCATTCCCCTCATGTGCCCCAACAGCTGAGCAAACTGCCCGAGGAGAAAAGGAGTGAGGAAGAACCAGCACGTGATGCATATGCAATCACTCGAGTTGCCTTATACATAGGAGGCTCGCCAAATAGTAAAGAGCAGTGGAATTTCTAAATGCCAAAAGTCTTCGGTCACAAGCTTTGAGGTTTACAAGAACATACCTGCTCTCGCTTCCAATCAGAGGGAGTTGGTAGATGGAAAATACCTCTGAGGAATTGTACCCGTGAACAATCGCCACCCAAATTGCTGGGTGCCCCTTGTAATCAATAGACAAGTACAATGGATTCCCCAAATCTCGCAAGAGGATGCATATTTGCAAAAGGTGAGCACCTTATGACTCATGTCTTTTGTGGTTGCTTTGCTTGTGTTATCTAGCCAACAGTGCCTTACTCGAAGCCGAGGCTCGCTGCGATGGTTTCGCGCGCCGTGTTGCCCAACCACCTCACGCTGAACGCAGCCATCAGCGCATGCCACTTGCCTCAGCGAGGCAGCGGTTGGCCTGGGCCGTGGCGCACTAAGTATCAGTGCATGTGCTATATATGTATACATACAATAATATGGACATATTGGTTGTTGTTGTTGCATGCATACATACAGACAGACATACATAAATAAACATTCATGAGGAATATGTGCACGTGTGTGTGTGTGAGTGTGTCTCTCTGTGTGTGTGTGGCGGTTGGTTTGTTTGTTTGTTTGTTTGTTTACTTGCGTGCTTGCTTGCTGGCTTGTTTGTTTGTTTGGTTGGTTGGTTGGTTGTTTGTTTGTTTGGTTGTTTGGTTGCTTGGTTGCTTGGTTGCTTGGGTGCTTGGTTGTGTGGTTGTGTGGTTGTGTTGTTGTTTGCCTGTCTGGTTGTCTGTCTTTCTGTCTGTCTATTTGTTTGTTTGTGTGTTTGTTTGGCTGTTTGCTTGTTTGTTTGTTGTTTTTGTTTGTTTGTTTGATTGCTTGTTTGTTTGTGTGTTTGTTTGTGTTTGTGCGTGTTTGTGTGTGTGTGTGTCCGCGTGCAGACGGTCTCCGAAAGCCACACGTTCAGCATGATTTAAGTTGACTCCTTTGAGGCACATGTTGGCAATTGACTGGCAAGAGTTATGACGCTGGCTCATGAAGAACCAGGCTTGGCCAATCCTTTGCCCTATGGCCTTTTTGCGGTTCCAGCATTTCCGTTGATCCATGCATGGAGAACTGAATCAACGACTATATATATATGTATATATTTGTACATGTACACATGTGTATATACATACTAGGATATCCTTCCCAATGACAAGATGGTGATGAATTTGAGATTTGTGGTGGCTTTCAACTCAGGTGCTAGTCACAATATTTTTTCCTGGGGGCCAGACATAATTAATTTGCATGTGGAATATCCAGCACAAAATGTCAGGAGGTTCTGAGCAGTCGCTCTTTGGTTTGATCTTGAATTTGCTCACCTGCCTAGCAATGGCGGCACTTTCTCGACTAACTAAGATATGCAGTTGCTGAACACTTTTTGGGACGGGGGTCAAAGTCCAGCCAAGAATTGGCATATTCTTTGGCAGTCGAGTGTTTGCTGTTTGCGAAAGGCCTTGAGCGCCTCTCAAGTTCCCCATGAAAAAGGGTCTACCTCAATTCCCACGTCCTTTGGCAAACGAGTCGAATCCTGGCCGTGGCTCAGATGTTCGCTGTTCGCGCTCTCTCTGAGGTGAGAAGGGCTCCCAGTGGCAGCTCTCCCTTGAGCTGCTCTACTCGACACCCGGATATGATGAGCGGATTTAGGGATCTCTCTCGCTCTATCTCTCTCTCTCTCTCTGTTTGTTTCTCTGTTGCTTTTCGTGTGTTAGTTACTTATTATTATTTTGTGTTATTCATTTATTTATTTTTGTGGTTGTTTATTGTTTATGTATGTATTCATTTATTTATGTATTTATTTATGTTCTTTCTTTCTGTATTTATTTCTTTCTTTCTTTCTTTCCTTCGTTCGTTCGTTCTTACGTTCTTACGTTCTTGCGGCTTGGCTTTCTTTATTTATTTCGTTTATTTCTTGATTTTATTGATTTGTTTTGTTGTTTAGTGTTCTATTTGCTTTATGTCCTTTCTTTATGTATTTGCTAATTTGATTCTGTATTTATGTTCTTTCTTTCGTTGTCAACCATGTTGTTTCGTTCTGCTCGTTCTTTCTCTCTCCCATAAACCGAATTGAGGCAGATGCGGCTTCCCAGAGGAGTACCTTTGCAGGTGTCAGGGACTGTTTTAGATACGCCCTTCCAGACCGAAAAACGGATTCCCGCAGCCAACGTCGACTACAGGACCCCGAGGGAAAACCGCGGGGAAAAAGAGCAACGCTTGGAAGAGTACCTCAGCAGGTCACAACACACTTTGCTGCGGGGATCCGCTTTTATCACAGATGCAGCCCTTCTAGACCAAAAACTAGCTCCCCGCAGCCAATGTCGACTGCAGAAAACAAGGGAGAAAGAACAACACTCCTGGAAGAGTACCTCAGCAGGTCTTGAAAAGGTTGAGCTGCGCGGATCCGTTTCTATCACAGATGCAGCCCTTCTGTCGACTACAGGACACCATGTTCGAGATGATTTCCATGTTTGAGAGGGATGCCACCAAACGGGGTGCCACTGAACTGTGTGTATTTGCGTTGCGGGCAGACCCGTTGAATGCTGCTCGCGCGTTTTAGGTTGTCACCTTCCGTGAACCACGGCAAGCACCATCAAAGCGAGGTTTCGTTCTCCGGGTTCCTTTCCGGGCACTGCTAGCTGTTTTTGCCGTAGCAAGAACAATAAACGCGATGTGGTGGTAGGAGCAAATTCCTTTATGGTATGGAAAGCTGGTGTGAAGCGTGGTTGGTGCGCCCATGCAGCACCCAACCCTCAAGCCGTGGCGGCAACATATTGCCAAGTGTCCACCATCCACCACGCAGGGGGGGTGGCCGGGGGGCAGACAGCTCAGGATGGGCGCCAGAGACTTGGAGCCCAGCGCAGTCTCCTACAACGCAGCCATCTTGGCGACTTCGCGGGCGAGAAGGTGGCAGATCCTTGGGCGGAGTTTGGAGGCAGAGGCTTGCTGGCAGCAGGTGAGACAACGATTAAAGTGTGTTTGCATGCAGCCTTCAAACACCTTGACCGCCAAAAACAGCAAGCGTAGACTGTTGACATATCTTTACACATATGCACTGTATTCATAATGTATGTATGTATATATATATATATACATAACATATTTATGTATTCATGTATTTATGTATTTTTTGTTTATGTATTTATTTGTTCATTTAGTTATTTATTTATTGATTGATTTATTTATTTATTTATACAACCCCCCTTACGGTTGATCTACCTGTTTGCTGTTTGAAAGCTATTTTGGAGATGGAATGCAGTTGTTTTATTTGGAATGCCCCGTGCGACTTGACCAGCATCAGCTCACCCTAAGCAAGGAAATCCTCTTCAAAATCTAATTTGGAATAACAAATCCAATTATGTGGTTTTGGTTGAAAATGACATCCTGTTTAAGTTGTCTTTGAATTTAGAAAGTCTACTATAATTATGTCCTTATTAGATTCCAGTTAATTCTAATAAAAGTGGAGAAACAATATCCCGGGAAAGGACGTTCTCTTTAAAATATATGTTGAAGCAAGAAATCCAATCAATTTTAAAAAATGGAAATCATATTCAAATTTTGTTTGTAGAAATTGTGTTCGTCGTTGTTCACTGGTATTTTCTATGTAAGTTCTAACTAGAAAATGAAATCATCATAGAAAACAGCATCATTTTGAACATATTCAATATAAGAAATCCAATTGTTAAAAACCGTCTTTAAAAGCCTATGTAAATTATCTTTAAATATAGAATTCCTGTTACCACTATGTCAGTATTAGATTATATTGAAAAGGTATGCCACAAAATCAATCCGTTTAAACATCTAGTTTCAAATAATACTTTTGATTACATATCTTGTTCGACATGGAAATCCTATTTAAGTTATCTTTATACTAGAAACCCTACTAGGGTTTGTTCCTTATTAAATTCCATTCCAGTTCGAATTAGAAAATTGAACAAACACAATCCTAGAAAAGATCCCCTTGGAATCATCGGTCAAATCTATTTTGAGACAGGAATTCTAGTTGATTTGTTGATTTGTGTAATCCTTTTCGAATACTTTGATTCCAAGCAAACAAGCTATAAACACAGCACACGCACAGTGAGTTCATTTAAGCAACAAAACATGTTTTCAATAAACTTCAGTGAACAAACCTACGAGAAATATGTCCGAATCCTACAAACATTCCATAAAGCCCAAAGTCAAAGCATAAAGTTCCGGAGCCAATAACCCAAAAGTGAAAAGTAAAAAACAAAGAAAATAAAAATAAAACTGGAGCCCATGACCCAAAAAGGAACACAGGTAGACTTCTGGAGCCAGAGACCCAAAAGTAAGAAAGAAAAAAAGTAAAAGTAAGTTTCCGGAGCCAGTGACAAAAACAACAAGCAAAAGACAAAAACGAATCAGGCCATGATCCTGAAGCAAAATGCTTTGACCATGGACTGAAAAAGGATTCGGTTTACGTGTTTACTGTTTTACTTTTTACTTTGGGTCTTTGGCTCCATAGTTTTACTGTTTTGCTGTTTTACTTCTGGGTCATTGGCTCCATAATTTTGCTTATTTACGTTTTCACATATGGGCCAATGGCTTCAACATAGCAGAGGTAGATCCAAACCGACTGGATTCAAGATTCCCTGGAACAGTTTGGCCTAAAGCTTTCAGATTGTCTTTGGACATGCGCCTGTTTTTTGCTGCTTTCCGCAAAGCAAAAAAGGCAGAACACAGTGCACATACCAGTGAGTTCTGCAAGAAGGGTAGATCCATGAAGGGGGTTCACCATATTTATATATTTGGAATGTAGCACGGTTTACGCATGCGGGTCGAACATTCAGCCTGTAGCCGTGCCAGAAGTCGCAGTTTGTTGCCGCTAAATATGTCGAAGTGAAAGGATCACCTTGGAGCTCTTCGCGGAGTTGCAGCGCTCCAGCCTGGAGGTGCAAGCCTTGACTCCTGGCGGAAAGTCGGGAGTTGCTGGGTGCATTTGTTCAGCAACCAAACCTCAGAAGGGTAGGTAGGGTTCAACAGGAAGACCCAAGGCCAAGTTCAGTAAGGCGAATTGGTTCAATTTGAAAAGAACTGCAAACTTGGTGTTAAGAGGACCCCCAGTGCTCTTTTAAAGAAGACCAAAAGGAGTTGATGTTGAAGCAAGTGTGGTTTAAAGACTCGTTGAGGTATGGGGTGTTGAGGAAATTGTCGAGTGGGGCTTGGGGGCCAAAGAAATTTGAGGGTTTAGAGGTCCAGGTTGGAACACGTCCTTGCCCAGATTTCGTCACCAAGGTCGGCTTAGGCATGCTTAAGCCGATGAGTTTCGTCTCACTTCGGCGCAATGGCAAGAAGAGGGGGTGCCATGGCAGAATGGTGGTAAGCAAAGCCTATTGGATTTGTGAGTCTCGTTCCTTCAGCCCTTGCTTGCCGTCGGGGGTCTCTAGGTTGAAAAAAGATTCCCAGGTCAACTTACAGCAAAACAAGGTCTTGCCATGTCTATTTCACAGCAGTCGCAAATAGTCAAGACCTTTGGGATATGGTTGAGTGGTGCCAGTTGACCCGGATTCAAGACCAGCCTGTCAGGACCTACAGTGACTTGACTGCATTGAGACCGGCTAGCACCAGTGAATTGCTGCGACACGTGGCGGAACCACCATTGTTTGGGCCAATGGCAATGACATCAACCGCAAACCGCTTACCATGGCACCTGCATGAAACATATCATGAACACTCCTTGCTGGTTTGACGTGCCAGAGCCTGCGTTTTACCATGTTTGCCGCAGCCATATCTACCTTGACACCTGTAAACAATGGGTATGGTGGTCAAGCTTTATAGGCAACACGATGACACGGTGCTTTGACGACGCTTATTGTTTAAGAAACTTCCATGCACCAAACCACTACCTACAATGGCAAACGGGATTATTGTGTACAGCCTTTCTATACTGACTAGATAGTGGTTATACTGCATTTGACCTTGTGGATAGTCGGTTGGTTTCAGGGTGGCGCTAAACAATTTGGAAACCCTATTCTGATACTTGTGTTGTAAAGTAGACCAGGAAATGTTCCCACCTCATCGCCGAAATGGGGTGGAAAACCAGTGTTTGCGGTCAAATAGTAAAAAGGAGCTACCCCAAGATCAAGTAGCAAGTGGACACCAGCAAAATGGCCTATCTATTGAAGCAAAGGGCACGATTGCGGCTGAGGCTACGTCTTGATGAACTGTGAACAGTACGGACTCGTTGGGCATGAAGTAGCCTTGCTGGGGAGTCTGCGGGGCTCCCATGGACGTCGGATCCTGGAATCGGGGCCAGTGAGTGCATGTGGGGACAAAAGAGCGCGGCACCGTGACTCATGGCAGAATTGGTCATGTCAAGATTGTTCTACATAAAGCCTATGAACATGTTGACAACATACTCATGGAAGTATAAATAGGCAAGCATGCACACTATATAATAAAGCATGCACACTATATAAGTGCATTGACAGCTGCATATCACGTACTTATATCTCTTTTGATGTTCACTCAATGAAGCTGATCCTCTGCAGGACATGCTGACGCACTTTCACTCCTACAGGGAGGCTCTTCAGCAGCTGCCCAAAGTTGCCAGGGGCTCCAGGGGCACGGGCTCCGGGCGTTGGAGCCGTTGGAGCCTCGGGGCTCAGATGAGTTGTTCGCACCGGGGAAAGCCGCGTTTTGTGGAGTGCTCCGCTTTGGCAAATATCAAGAAGAGTTTGTTTTGGCTGACTGGAAGGTTGGAGATTGTATAGAATCAAACACATTGCCAAGAGATGCAGATAGGGTGCGGCATGCCAATTGTTACAAGTTAACTCAATGTTCAAAAGGGTATGTGTCATAAGGGAACCCTTATCTTGGCCCATGTTCGCAGTAAAGCACCGGGGGCTCCGAGCTGATGTTGTCGCATTCCCATTGTTATTCCGCATTTCTGTAGGATTTCATCTCCGAAGGGAATGCACCGGGCCAGGTGCATGCTGGCGGCGTCGCCTTCCATGCCAACCCACAGGCCACGAGAGCACGAGAGCCTGCGTCACCGCGTCAGGCCCATTGCCCCCCGGCTCGCTCTTTGGTTTCCACTCCGTGGCTTTAGGCCATGGCAAAGCGAAGCAACTCGCATTTGATCGTTTTTTGGGGCATTGCCGGGCATTGCATAGGCTTACAATGGCTCACCGCTGAGCCATTTGCGCCAATTTGGCATCGTCTGCGGGCGAAGCAACACCAGCTGCATCCGCAACCCGTGATGGATCCGGTTTCAGGAAGGTGGATGAATGTAATCCCCCGAGACAGCTTGCCGCTCTGTGTGAGTTCTTTCAGGAACTAGTCCCTGTACCTTTGAATCCCGTGGCAATTCCGGGCGTAGGATCCGCAGATAACTGACCAGACGGGGTGAAGCCAAGTTGAGTTTCCCCGTTGATATGGTTGATGTCTTGCGAACAAGTTGGGAGCTCAGAGCTTGATTGAGGAGTTCCCTTCTAGCATGCTCCGTAAGCAGAAAGAACATGAGCTCCTTGCAGGCATGCGACGCGAGGTGTCTAATATTTGTCGTGTGCTGGTCCCTGGTAGGCAAAAGTTCTTTGCTTCCGGAATTTGCAACACAAGCTGCATGAATGCGGGCCTTGAAGGGACGCATGTTGCATAAGTTTGTGTTGCCGGTTTCAAAATCCAATAGGCATTTGTGGGAGATGTCCGGGATCATTATTGTCAATGCTTTGCTGTGCTTTGCCTGTCGGAGTTCACTCTTGCCGGTCTGTTTTGGCCCTCACTCCTCACCTCCCATATCTGTAAGCGCCTGAGAAGGTGGCCCAGCTCCTCAGGATGAAACGCCGGCCTCGAGACGCTCGCATTTGTACTGATACAATGGTGTCTACACGCTAATGACACTCGTGCATGTCATACATGAATTATAATTCTGCATGCTGAAACATGCCTTTTGGCTCATTTTTCACTTGGGCAGTCGCCTGACAGGATGGCTTCTTCTATGGCCGGCCTGGCTGTCCCGGAGCCAACCTCAAGGCGGGGACAATGTGAGGCACTTGGCCGCTTTTCATTTCTGCCCCGAAGGATGACCCAAAGTGCAAAGTATTCTAATTGTGCAGGATCCCGATTTGTTTTATACCATGGTGGACCAATGGTGGGGTACATATGGGGCGGGATTCCCTAGCCTCATCATGGGATTCCAAGACAGGCCAGTATCATAGACTTACGTTTGCCAACGGCATGGAGGTAGCACATAAGACGGCAGTTTCCGAGCTGATGGATTGCCCAGGAAAAATCGTGATTAATGGACGTCTCATGTTGGACCCCACCACGAGCAGTCCGCCAACCCTGCTGGTTTTAGGCAGGGATTTATTCTGGAGAACCTAAGAAATGTTTTTTTTCGGCAACCACCATATTGATCTCGGCAAAAGCGAAGAGCATGTGACAAGGTTTGTTGCGGTGTTGTGACCTTCTGGAGAACTAGTACTTTCTCCCATGAGGAAAGCTATGTCCTTGGAAAAGCACGCAATTCACATTGCTGCATCAGCTCATTTGTGCACACTTTTGTCCCGAAGAATCCGAGCAAACTTGCCTTGCAACACATGTCCTGTGAGGATTGTGTATTGCAAGAAGAAAGTACAACGACTTGTCAAAATGGGGTGTGTAAAACAACTGAAATTACCCACGTTGAGATCTTGCTCAGTGAGGGATCTTTTGAATTGCTTACCTGTGTTTAGTGGTGGCTTGGCAGCATGAGACCAAATACTCGATAGCCAAACTTTGCAACGCCTTCAGTATCCGTTCGGCTGCACCAAGCTATGGCAGGAATGGCCAGCAACGGGTGGCTGGGACCCAGCTGATCCAAACTTAACACGCTGCAAATTAGTGATAGAAATTGCTAATATGAACTTGGGCGGATCAGTTTTATGATTATCGAAGCGTTGGACGCATCTCCACATGATTTCATGGAAAAATTATGAATCTCGCCGCATAGCTTGCAGGTTCAAAGCTCGATGTTCTGTTTGGTCTTGCTGCTCCTTCTCTCCGGCTCCCAGAGACAGTGAACCTGGGTCCTGTACTTCCCTTTCTGGCAGGATCAAACAAAAACATGGCATATCCATTGCCATGTCAACAGAGTTTCCCCTTGAATTGTGCAAAGACTATTGAACCCACAGACGAGAGAATCCAATCCTGTACGCCCAGCTTCCGTATTTGGATGGGTGGGTGCAGGAGCTCGAAGAAAGCAAGGCCGGGGCCCCTGGTGCCTGCCTTTGCTGCTATTCTTGGGGCCTGAGGAGTCAAAAGCCAGTGGGAATGGCTGGAGTTATGTTGGTTCAACCTCAAAGCTAGGCCCAAAGGAGTGTTTTTGTTTGTGTGCATTCACACATGTCTGAGCGGCGTTTTGCTATCGGATGCTGGTCCTCCTCATTTTGCAGACTCCTTTTTTGACAGAGTAGAATTTCCTTGATCAGCAGAAAACCATGCCCTGTTGCAATCGCAATTTTTGGCAATGGTTCAGTTGCCAGCCTGTACTTGGTGGAAAAGGGGAATCCACTAAACTCTGCAAGTGGGGAACGCAGCTTCCAGTTGCCTTTGCTTTGGTGGCTGATCTATTTGAGCAAGTTACAACGGCCTCACAAAGTGGTGGGTGACCTCAACCGTGAAGATTCCTTGCTTGGGGATTCCCTGCATTTGGCGAGTGAGTCATTTCTAGTTGACCCAAATCTAGCGAATCCGTTGACCCAAATCTAGCGAATCCACAGATGCACATGCCTTTGCGTAGGTCGGCGACCTTCGAGCGAGGCTGGGGTCAACTCACAGTTAGCGAGTGAACAATGAACCTGCGCCAAGCAACATGTGGAGCCGGCGGGGCCCAGGGCCCAACACGTACGCCCTTGCTGACATCTATTCCCTTGTGAGAACAAACAACAATTGCACTGGGCGGGGCTGATTTGAAACATCAAGCCAAAGGATAAAAGGGGCCCTTAATTCTTTGAACACCCTAGTTGACTGCAATCCCTTGGCAGATGCTGACATGCGAACATGTGCTTGCTTGTTCCGGAGACTCAACGGGATAAACTCTCTGTGCCTGGCTGTTCCGGAGGCTAAACCGGCTACTGATCAGGTTTCTGTGCACTCCCAACTGCGATGCCACCGTGGTCGCGGTGCAGATCCACAAGGAGAGCTGCGACGCACGCGTTGCTCAAGTGCTTCTTGCTGGTGCTCAGCAGGGAATGAGGGAATGAACCCGGGGCTCCCCAAACAGCAAACGACAAGGGATAGTTTATAGGGGTCATTCCCTGATTCCCTGCTGAGCACCAGCAAGACTTGTCAGGGCATTTCTTCAATCTCTGTGTGCCGTCTGAAAGCCCTTGCTCTCCATCTCGGCGTGCACCACCCGATCAAGGGGGGCGCTGCGACCAAAGGTTCATGCAAAGTCAGGCATACAGGCAAGATAAAGCCGCCAATTCGCCCCGGGCAACGGCAATGTTCGACAAAAGGAGCACACACGTCTAGTTACCCTTCATTAACCTTTAGGCCTATTACCTTTGTGTTATTTTGTGCTCACTTTTACTTGATTGATCGCTTGGGGTGGCTGTGACTGAACTTCACCTTTGCGGTATGCAAGCAGGACACCAAGAAGCAAAGGTGAAACTGTCTCAGTTTGTCCTCTTGAGAGCCAGCATGGCAGTGGATCGGCTGAAAGGTCCTTGTATTGAGATACGAACGGGGAAGACCTTTTGGTTTCAGTCCGCGAAAGCTTCGCGACGGAGATCGCGAAAGTCATTGTCCGCATAAGTTGTCTGCAAGACTAAAGTTGGTCGGGGGGAGTGTCGGAGTGCACAGCCTGAGGATTGCCGCAAGAATACGTCACTGCAACAGTAAACCCCAGCAGAATCAATGCAGCTTGTCACTTTGAGTTGTGAAGCTTTCGGGTCTTTGTGCGAATTGATGGACCTCCCCGCCAGTCCCCTGTGCTTCTGCACGACTTTCGAGATGGGACTGTGGGAGGTGTACTCCTTGTATCACTGTGGAGCTGAAAAGGGTTTGGTTGCGGAAGTTTACTTCCAACACAAAAAACCTTTCGAGCCGAGACAGCAGAAGGGTACTGTGTGTGCTACTTTTTCATGGAGCCTTGTGAAAATAGGAGGTCGCGAAAGTTATTGTTTGTTTCGCAACGTTTCCGGGAGTAAGAAATTTCAGACAACCGCCACATGTTAGCGACGTGTCCTGGATCACGTTGACTTGGCCCGTCTCAGGAGAGTGAAAACCGCGAGACCTTCCTGCCGTACCGCGTGGTTCCGATCCCCCCGTGTAACGGAGAGGAGCAGGCG